ATTTTAAGGGCAAAAGCGTTACCTCCTCATCTAAATGAATTATCTGGTTTGATATTTGTTACCGTCAGGCAGTGTTTTAGATATAATCAAGACTTAAAACTTTGCGTTTCAAAATTACTGAGTGTTTTTTCTTAGGAATAATATTTTGGAGAGAAAAAATAATTTTTTTCGAGGATTAGATTTTTAAATATCGTTTTCAAAATTGCAACATTTTAAACTTTTGTGTCAGCACGTGATATAACGTTGTGATGTTTTCTGTCTTTAATAAACAAACTTGAAATACCTATTTATTAGCAACAAATTAGTGATAAGTGAGATTATAACAGTTTAACAAGACTCGAATTATGCTACTTAAATAAGTAGACGGTCAAACTTTAAGACTGACATCGAATAAAAAAGAAATCTGCTAGTTTGTAAGTTATTTATAGTTAAGATGCTGGATGAATAAATGCTTATGAGCAACAATGTCCATAGCTCCTTCTATTGATGATTAGATTAAGTAGTTGAAACAAGACTAATATTGTCATAGTAAATGACTGTAGTTGGTATCTGATCACATAAAAAGTACAAGGTTAATAGTGTTCAGAAAACATACTATATGAAAGATAACCCATTTTTAGATTTGAACAAAGTTGTATATGTACTTTTATGCGAATATTGGAAACTTTGTTTTTATTATAAAATAATGTGTTTGGTATGGTAATATAATGCGCTGTTCCATTTTTTTCATATGTTTATGAAATGACCAATTAAACCTCTACATACAAAAATGCATTATATTTTGTTACACGAATACAAAAAAAATTTCAACAGAACACACGTTTTCTTCAAACCAATACTGTAACAATCAACCATCCATATATTCGCTTAATTTCTCAATCAATAAGTTCAATTACTCATAAGCTTTTTCAGCAGTTTCTGGCATTACGGGGGCTGGTTCTACAAGTTTAGCAAGTTCTTCAAATTTTGGGTTGTACAGTTATGGTTGATCGGTGATGAACTTATTCATGAGGATTCTAATATGATCATTTAAGACTAATTTTTCGCACTCTTTTCCATTGAGTTTTTCATAGCAATGGTACATAAAATTTGAAATTCCGGTTTTTATTTCATTTTGTTTGTGGACTCTACGTTTATCTTATTCTTTTTAGTGAGATCTTACTGTTGTTGAATAATACTTTCAAAACAGTACCTTAACGTTTCAATATGCAGTGAATTTTGATACCTTATAAATTTACTTCTTGCATGTTTTTAAAAAGATATATATAAAATTCCGCTAAGTGTTATAATAACTGTCGCCAATAGCTCTCACTTCTTCGATTGTGAGTGCTTTAACCAAGTAGATATCAATCTTTCGCAAATTTATCTTGATGATTGTATCATAAAGCCCTCTGAAACAATTCAATCATCATATTCTCTGTACCATGATCTGATCTGATAATTTTTGGTACATACTTATATTTAGATACTACTTGCATAAAATAGAATGCAATGATATTTGGATTATTGTTTAAAGTATCTACTTTGAGACAAATAATTTTTTTGGAGAATCCATCTATACAACCATGGATTGCAAAGCCAAATTTTTTTAATTTGTCGTATCCATCTGCGTGCCATAAAAAATTTGAACCTCTCACTAAATATACTCTCTTTTTAAGTCCCCGCCTTAATCTACTTTCTACTTCATCGGGATCAATTAATTTTAATGCCTTTTCAACAGTTGATCGTTTAACATTCAAATTGTACTTATTCCGTAAACGTTTATGCATCGCTTGATATCCCAAATTGCTTGCACCATTCTCTTATTTAGCAGAAACAGCTTCAAATACTTCTTCTGGTTCACTTTGCACCACGTTCTTTCTTCTTAAACCCAATTCTCTAAGATGCCTCTTTAAATGCCCAAGGAAAATAAAACATCATGTCTACTTTTCATTGAAGCTAGTATTTCCTTATACATGCATCCTACTTTTAAATATTTCACTATATTTTTGGTTATATTTTCATTCATGCTTGATTTAGAAAATATTTATACTTATTCATCATTAAATGATTTTATAAATCATTTTCATACAAATTTTACCTTATTATAGCGGACAAATTTGTTGGCTCGCACGTTGCATCCTCTGTTTACCGAGTGCTCGTCTTGCCCACTCGCACACACTGCCTGCCTCGTTGGCCCTTTTGGGCCATGAAATCACAAATACCATATTGCAATAAACAGAAAAAAGATGTCGCTCTTAATCTAACAGTGAGTGGCACTTTAGGGCTTCCGTAGTATTCTGTATTTTATCTTAACGAGTGTTTTATTGTTGTTGTTGTTGTTGTTAAGATGACGTATAAAATTTATTCCTGCTAGCAGAATGAAGGGACGGGAAAGTTAAATACCGTTAAAAGAAAACCTTTAGCTTATTTAAGAATGTCAGAGAGCTTTGTTGTATTTTGTCAGTGGGACAAAATTGTTAGCACTGTAAAACGGTGAGCATTGATCTTCAAATTCATCGGTCAATGATTTAATTCTCTCAGAATCCAAGGTGTATGTGTGGTTTTTAACTTTTAGAGGTGGCAGGACTGTACGTTGTTTTTGTAGGGATTTAAAAATCTTTTATGATACTCTTGCGTTCGATTCGCTTTCTGTGTGAAGCTGTTGAAAATCTGAGAGTTTATCTTCTTGATGCTGGTCTGGATTACTTTTTACAGTGTGTTGACCTTCGCCTTAAACTCTGATGTTCTAAGCTGTGGCCAAGATCTACATGTTTTGTTTCAAGCCTTGATGAAGTTGTAGATATTTTTCTTAAAGTTATTACGAATCCTTAACGGAGATTATGATATAGATGAGTCTCTGACGGCATTTTTTGTGCATATAATTAAGGTATCGTCAGTTGTGTCCAGTTCGATGGTATCTTTGATCGTACGGTTTCGAAAAGTCGACATTTTTAGCTTAAATAAAAGTTGTTCTGTGTCAATATTGCAAAAAAAACGTGAAGAGGGTGAAAATTATCTTGAAGGAGACTGGCTAATGGTTTGAGATTTAATTGTTAACAAACCAGGGGTCTTTAATTAGAGTGATGCTGTTTGAGTTCTTAGAGTTCGAAATGTCTGGCTTGTACGTGATTGCATCTTGATAGTGCAAAGATGTAGATAGTTTTCCCAGGATCAATTTGTGCTTCATCAGCATGCTAAGTAATAACTTACCTGAAGGTAGATGCATGTGATTATTATTTATAAAATCTTATTATTACAACTGTAATAAATAATTGAAAAATAAACAAATCTCTTAATAACCATAACTAGTCTAAAGTAATCTTCATTACACCAATTATTTATTATTTTTATAAATATAGTTACAAATAATAAAAATGTTAAAAAATCATTAAGTACTTTCACAGCTCATGATAATTTTATAGCTTGGGTAAGCACACCAACCAAATATCAATTCATTAAGTAGGAAGTATTATATCTACTAATAAGAGAGGTTATGTTTTCAAAGTAATTGATAAAATATGCAAGTTTCAAACTGATAGAGATAGTTTTTGTCTAGTGTATACTTGACGTGACTATTCGTTAAGCACGAAATTCAATGTTAGTAATTTTTTGTCCCATTGAAAGACTATTAAAATCTACGATCACAGTGAAACAGTGCAATAAACAGTGTAATACAAACAACTATTGAGCAAAGTTACAATCATGCGTTCTTCAGTTTTTGTTGTTACGTGTTGCAAATAAATTTGAAGATAAGAATTTTGTGATTAGCAAAATAAATTATAAATAAATAACAAAATTTGAATAAATTTAAACGAAACAATAATATCACATTAATTTACTCACTTATCACATGAATCTTCCTCGCACTAATTTAGAAAGACCACGTGGCGTAACATACGGTTGCAATACCGAAGGCATCAAAAAATCATACATTATGTACATTGTCAATAAGTTCGGTTTTGGTTTTTGGAATGGAATAAAAATTAACACTAACATACAAATAGTCTTTGGAGAGAGGGTTACAAGAAAAACAAAATCTACTTTTCTACATCATTATCCTTAGTATTTTAATATGTCGCATCAAAACCAAAAAACATTAAAATACTTTGGACAAAACTTTTTTCAGTTTTGGACTTAATGAAATTTTACATACATAGATAGATAAAATACTCTTAATATTTCTTAAAAGTAACATTATTTTGCACAGACATAAAGAGAATATTTTTTTTTTTAAATTACGATTCAATATTTTCAGTTAAATTTTTATGATGATTTTTTTGTTTTATGTATTCGTTTTCTAAAATACCTTATATAATAGTTTTCAAAGTCCCTAAGAAAATAAAATAATTACTGTTAAGCATGATGATTATTCTAACTATAACTTCCTTTTATTAGTAATACTACAATAGGGAGAGTCCTTAAAGTAAATGAAGCTAACAATAGAATGCTGGATAATCAAATAATGGAGAAAAAAGGAGGATGCAAATATGCATATACATGATCGATTACCATGAGATTTTTGTAAAAGTTATACAAAATAGTTTTGATTACATATTTATGAAACACAATCAAAAAATTATTGAGCCAAGCTAGATTTGCAAATATTATATAAGACTTACATGATATTCTCTTTTTCCTTAAAACCTATTTATCAAAATGAACACTATAACTTTTAGTGTCTCTATTGTATAATCAAGTGTTATTTGCTTTTAACGTCTTATTAAGCACAATTGCTTTATAAGAGTGCTTAAATTTTTTTGTAAAAAAAATTACCTTAACGGAAGAAGATTCTTTGTCAATTGTGATTAAAGCTTGGAAAACTAGCTCGAGATAAAAAATTCTCTTGAGAACGCTATAAAGTATACATTATACTTGCTACTACTAGATTCCTCACAACTTGTAATTGTAAAATTTGCTAATCAAGTTTTTTAATGTAACAGTTTTATACTTACTACATTGTATTGTTTGCTTACTTGTATATTGTAAATATTTATTTATTTTGATCTGGTTGCGTCTTGATTTCTATACATTTTTTAACTATTAAAAACTCGTTTTATTTTCTTTGTTTACAATGCAAAACTTTTGATACCCTGATTCCAATACTAAATCTTAACATGATAGTCAACGATGCTCACTATGTACACAACTTTTATAATACCAGCTTTAACTACTCATATAAAACAAAACTTGTCAGCATACAGAACTAGGTAACCATTGTTTGCAAGGAATATAATTAAACTAATAAATTTTCTTAAAAAGACACTTGATACGAACATTATTAACTTGATCATTAAAAAATGATTTAGAATGAAGTTTAACTTCTTTTGATGTAGTAGAGCGAATTTTCATGGCAAACAGTAAAAACACTTTCGAGTGCATCCTTTTATTAAAGTGATAATATGACGTGGTATTCTATTAGATATATCTTTAGTGTTCAAGATTATGTTGATGTTAAGATAAAAAATGTTGTTCATGTACGGCCGCTTGAAACATGGATTTTATTAAGCCTTTTAGACTTCTTTTACAAATGATATTATTTGTTCATAATTTGTTTATTTTTGAAAACAAAACGAAGTAAAAAGTGCAGAAAAGTCACTCACTTCTTGCTTCTACATTCTTCTTTGTCACGCAGCTTCAGATATTTGTAAAAGACATTTTATTACTCTACGAACTAAGTAGCTGGAAAGTCGTGCTGTCATAACAATATCACAATTAACTTAACACTGGCCTTATAATTTATTAACTTAACGTAATTTTAAATTATCAAGCTATTCATTGAACAGATGAGTTGCAAAGCAAGCAGGTGACACAAACTTTTTTCTTCGTCTCAGACCTTCTCGACTTTTTTAACGTTGTTGGAGTTTAATTAGTTGAACTGACTTTGGTTGGTGTTAAAAGTGGTCTTGGTACCTGTCTCCACATCATTATGTTCGTCCACCAGACTCATTTTTGAGATCTTAAAATGCGTACTGTTGTCAACGTTCGGCTGCTGTATGGGCAGGATACCAGCATTGGCATCTTCAATTGCTTTACGAAGCTAGAAAGGGAAATCATCCACTAATCAATAGAATGAAAAAATTTACGTAAGTGCTTTAAAATAGCAGTTGTATAGATAAACTAAATTGCATCTTAAATGAGTGTACATAAAATAAAATTGGTTATGCTAATTATACAAGAACATTTTTTTATGCCAGAGGCTCAGAAAACGTCGCTGCACGAACGGCAACACTCACTTCCTAGCTGCTGAGGCATAAAAGATTATGTACTACACATGGCCATAAGCAAAGAAGCCTTAGATCGTCCGACATCCTCAGTATCACCTGAGACTAAGATACTCGGATCATCTAAAACTTTTTTCTTCACTTTTTCGGCATAGGGTCATAAAATACTTTTTATATTTGCAGAAAAACTATAAATTATTCTCATACAATACTTTAATAAACACAATATGTGCAAAGTCTTAATTGCATATGGAAAGAGTAAATAATGACAAAGTTTGCTGGATTTAAATTAAATATAGATAAGTACGTGGTATCCTTTGAATTTTGTTAAAACATCTAGTTATAGACATGATGTGTAGGAAGCTTTGGAGGGACCAAACAACAGAACTATGATATAATGTGTATATCTGGGATTTGGTAAGAAAAACTACCTAGTAAAAGGTATATAAATAAAGAAAAGTCCGCTTATAATGCTTCGCTCTGACTAACTTATTAAAGATTTCTATAACAACTTTTTGAAAAATTCATCAGTTTGTGGAATGTACTCTTGCAAGCATGTATTTAAAGACTTAAACATAAAAGCCATAACTATCACGAGATGTATGAAATTAAAAAAAAAAAAGGTTATAATAATGTTTTAAGAGCAAAAGTTTGAGCTGTTTTTTTGAGAATTTATCATCAATTCACACAAAATAGCTATTTTATAGTTACATTCATATTGAAAATTAGTTCTTATAAAAATATAGTATTAAAACATCAATAACAAAGTCATACATATATTTACCTCTTTCAACCCTACTACTCCTACAAGCCTACCAATGGCAGTTACATAAGCATGATTGACACCAACCATGCTGAAAAGACTGTGAACCTTAAGCAACGACGTTCTTTCCACGAGCTGAAAGGGTGCTGGATCAATGTGACATCGTGAAAAGTCAACCTCAAGGGCCATTTCGCTCTCTTCCCAAGCTGTTTGATCTTCTGGTGACATGTCAATTACACGCTCTCGAGGCTGCAATTTAAATATATCAATTTTATCTATTTACATAATTATTTCGAAAAATTTAGTCGAGAAACACTAATAAAATAATGTAGTTCTGTGAGAAGTTATTTAAAAAAATACTAATAATAGTAATTTACGGTATTTTTTACTTTCTTATAAATGTTATGATAATTATCTTATAACTAAGGAATCCTTTGAAAAACTTTTCCAATTTTTTAACAGAAAAATGATCCATAAATCACCATATGTTAGTTGTAAGTTAAACCATAATTTTATCACAGTAGTAAAAATGTTTATACAATGGTCATTTAAAATCATTTTTGACTCGAACCAAGTCAATACAAATAATGGTTTATTGATTATGTACAAAAAAATTGATAAGAATTTTCTGTAAATTTTTTACATTTCAATAGTACTTTTATTAAATCCTTTGAAAAAATTTTATATCATTCATTAAGAATTCATTATGTATTTGTAAGTTCATCAGACTATTTCCACTGAAGTAAGTTCTAAAAGTGGTTTTAAAGAACCCTTTGACTTTTTCAACATTATCAAATTGCATGAAACAAATTATTTTTATCTTCGATATCAAATGTTAGACATAAGTATGAATAAAATAAACAGTTTGAAGCTTAAAATGTATTCAAAATAGTCTAAAATATGTACTTTTTAACTGGAAAAGTGTAATAATGAACTAAAAAAAAAAATTCTCTCGGTAAATTAAATTCCTTAACTACTAACATAAAGTATTAAATTAGTTTAGCACAATTATCCAAGTAATTGCTTCTAGGGTTAGCATTCGAAGTTTCGGCCACAGAAATACGTTTTCCTTAGCTCCATCTAACTTTCTAAATATTTAAGATATTTACGTTAACAATATTAAAATTATCTAGATTGCTATTTCGTAATAAATTGTTTACTTCTAAATTCGTGGTATGCTTAGAGGATTTATATAATTTAGAAAGGTAGCTTTAAAAAAATTTCTGAATGAAATTACTCATCATTTGGTTCTTAAAGGTATAATAATACGTAATAGTTGATTAATTATTAAAAATTTGAAAAAAATGTTCTATTATCTTACATAAAAATATAAATGTCCGTAATAAATCCTGTAAATGATTCCTTAAACTTTATTTTAATTGTAAATTTTAAGAAATTTAAATAATTGTTTTCTCTTGTTATCCTATCGGAAGAAATTAAAATTAGAACTGGGATATGCTAATGAATGAACCATACGTAGTCTCATGGTCAGATACATTTAGGGTGCTTACACCCAAAAAAAGTAGAAATTAAAGAGCTTAAATATTTGTTCTACATCAGTTCAAGAGATAACCAGATTACTAGGATTTGGAAATAAGCAAGGATTTGTACGGCTTTTTTACCTACATGATTCGATGTCTCGTTGGAGACTCGTAACTTAGTTGAGGGGGCACTTTAGTCTAAGCTTACTATACATTCTGCTTATCTGTAAACATGACAGGACACTTAAAAAAAGTTTTCAAAACAGCTTAATAATCTAATCTAATCTTTGCTCATAAAGTAACTTCTCATGGTTCAAATCATTTTGATCTAAATTGCACAATTTCAATTTCTTATCAATTTTTTTTGTACTTTTAGAGGCAAATGACAAATATTTCAATTTTCTTGAAAATTAATTATTAGGGAAATACTAAAGTGCAAGTGCACCATTTCTCTGTCAAATTTGGTAATTCTAGTAAATTCCTGTCATTATGGTTTTCTAATATCCACACAAACATGGCTCATTTCATTGACCTATTATTCTCGTTGTTATTTAAAAAATACTTATATTACTGTGCAAAAGAGGTTTACAAGTGATGTTTTCCCTTAAACTCTAAAAGGAAATAAGCTCATACCTTGTCTTAAAAAAAGCCTGCAAGAAAATGAACAATCAGCTTCAGATATTTCATCAGTTTAGGAAGGTGAAATACATTTACTTGATTTTAAAAATTCAACAGACACTTATCAATAATTTATACCAGTTATCGAAATATCCGAGAAAGTATACCCTTTTCAGCGAGCAGGAACTGACAAAGACGCAACGGATACTGTAGGTGTCGAGGCAGAGCCAAGTATTACAGAAAAATCGTCATCAGACAAGAAATATTACGTTCGAGACAACTGTTACAACATAAAAATATAAAACATGATTGTCTATTATTAAATGTATTTTTTTGTGTATTTACACGCTTACAACAATAGGTTCTCGTGCAGAAGTCAGTGAACAAAAAGAATTTAAAAATATTCCAAATGGTTTTGACAATGAATAGAGTTTTACTTATTACTTTTTGTTAAAATCAGCTTTGAATAGATTCGCTTTATAAGCGTAAAGGCTCCTTATAGTCAACACGAAAGAGTTTCGTCATTTTTCAAATTATACTTACAAGATTACTAGTATTGTTATAGACAACCAATTCACGATTGATGTCCATGAGTAAGTGTTTTTTATTCTTAGTTTTACTTTTTAGAATGAAAAGTGTGGCATTAACAAAGAAACATAACAGATTTTAAAAAAACTGTACTTAAAATGAATTGTAGACTGAACAGAAAACATTAAAATGATTTAAAGAAACAGTTGAAAAAACTATTTCTTAGAAGGTAACCAGAAGAGTCATACAGCCTTAGCACTCATGAAGGCAATTCAAACGGTCCTTTTTCAAGTTCTTAGGTACGCAAGATAACTCCACGCCAATAGGTTCTTTTGATTATATATTTATCATTTTAAATACTCTTTTTTTTTAATATTTCTTTAGTTAAACTACCTTAGTACTGTATTATTTATCCAAGTATAATTATTACTATTGCATGAATTTTTTTTTTTATTTGCACTTTCTAAGGTAAACGTTACCGAAAATTATAATATTGAAATGATCAGTAAAAATTTAATCTATCATTGGAAATTTACTTTTGAAGACGAAAGGGGTATTTTATATGAGCGCTCGACCTTACATACAATATTATCTTGTTACCTAGGTAATGCTTTTTTGATCAACATCTATACAAATCTCTCCATCAATATTCATTACAAGCTCAAATTACATCACGGCAGCAAGTTCTCGCTCTTATCAACTAGCGAAAATTCACATTTCATCCTACGCAGCAGTGACAGTGTAGTGTAAAAAACTACTTTTTTTAATACGATAACGCTTATAAAACCCAAATATTTTTTAGATGGAAGTCATACGATAAGATAGGAATAGAGATCCCATCAAAACATGTAAATCAGACATTGCTTGAATAGTGATACCTCTCACACTTAAAAAGAGATTTATGTTACTCTGCAAACATTATGATGAGGACCGCTGGAGCCCTGAAATATTTCTGTTTTTAGATGACAAGATAAGAAAAAATTATTAATGGATTTATTTTCTTCATTTTGTTCATAACACATTTACGTTTACAATTATAACGTTAAAATGAAAAAGCAAGGAATGGGAAGAAAGGAATCGTGAGAAAGATTTATACTTATCCTGAAATCTTAGCTGTAATCCCTACAATTTTCGATACTACATTTAAGGAAGTTCTATCCGTTACAGCATTAACAATGAGAAATTGAAGAAAATTAATTTAAAAGTCAATAAAGTGGTAGAAATGACACAGTGAACATTTGAAGGTGAGAGGGCCCCAAGAACCCGAGTATTTAATATTCACAATTAGATAATTTTTTAATTAATAGATAGCAAAAAATTAATTAACAAGCGGGGTAAGAACTACAAAAGATTATGTTTTCGCAGAAGAGCGAAAAAGACAGATGACATACCAAACTGTACAGAGCGTCACATGGACTGTAGCGAGGGATAAAATCACCTTAACAATGCGACTAGAACAACGACTTGTACAACGAAATCTCCAATCACTGCTAAAAGGGTACTTATTCCAATCAAAAAAAATTTTTAAATGTTAGATACTTTTTCACATTTATTTAAATTTCTTTACAACAAAAATAAAAAACAACATCAAAGGTATATGCAGAAAATAAATTCAACCCTTATCAGGTTTTACAGTCATAGCGACTAAAGAAAGCAATAAAACATCGACCAATGCAACAAATTATTAGCTTTAGTATTTGTTATTAAAACTTTATTATTAAAATGTTATTAAAAGTATTTGGAATTCACATATTTTATTCTCATATATCATAAATAGCCATTTCCGTACTAATTTACAAGGTGTTGAGTATTTGTTTAAATAAGATTCCAAAGGAACGATTCGTGTAATTAAAACACAATAAGGGATAAGCAGGGTCAATAACTATGTGAAAAATTATTATTAGGTCAAATAGTTTTTTGTCTTGTATTAGGTTTAATAGATTTATACAAAAATAATAACTTTTATTTGCTCTCAGAGACTTCAATAATCTGCAACTTTTTTTTTTTTTTACAGTATTTTTCATATAATTGAAAATAATTGAAATTATTTAAATTATACGATTATTTAAAAATTACATAAATTACAATAGGCCTGTAATAAAAAAAAAAAATTTATTTGTCAATTACAATTTTTCAGAGTTATTTTTGTATTCCCCCAATGGTGCCAACGGAACATGGCGTCAAAAGTGACTAAATGCCACCAGTGTCATTATTAATTGATTGATCATTTAATTTAGAAGTGAGTTCTTCACGTAATTACAATATCATAATTTTTTTTACATATTTGTTGACATCGGCCACAATTCTCATTCAGATCTGTTCAGTGAATTTTCAAACATTTATAAAAATGTGCTGAACATTGACTTCTTACATAAGAGACATGTACCATTTTTTTGTTTAAATAATCAACCAAACGCAGTATAAATTCAGTCGTTCATTCGTTCTAAGCTCATAACGCATCAATTGTAAAAAGTTTAAAGAATCGTATCGTCATGACGATTGAGCCTGACGAGGCTGGCATTAAGATTAACAAAATATTGCTGAACCTTTGAACAACTCCGAGGAGTAGTTTCTTTACTCCTTCAATCGCTCTGAACAGATCGTGTTAAATTCTACGTAACC